AATGTGTACTGTGCAGTCTCTGTCATATTGGACATATCGGAAAACTTTTCACTAGCCCTTGTTTGACCGGACCCCAGATTTAGTACGATAAACACGTTCATTTCAGGTTATCGACCGATATTCTAATCTATCCTCTGTGAACCACCCACTCCATATGGCCAAAGGCGCCGGGCTGACTCATCAAACTTGAATGCGGACGGAAAACTGGAAAACCTGTCAGCTTCCGTTGGTTCACTGTGAGAGCGCTTTAAGGGCAACCGGGCAGTCAAATATAATTGGAAGTGGCTGAATAAATGTGGGGCAAATTAGAGTGAGTTGGTTAATAATTTGTGTTTATGGTGAGGTAGGAAAACCATGAATGAAAATCAAGTTATTAAAAAATGAATAAGGTTTGTGAATTGGCACGTCAGTAAAAAGCTCATGAGAATTGTTAAGGTACTTTCTGATACGAAGAACTTATAGTTAAAATTATTGACAGTATGGGAAATATCATAATGACCATTTGTTTTATCGGGTGTCTTGCTGATCCATCAAAGGTACAATACACAGTCAAGCCTAGATGAATTTTCCAGTTAAAATACTGTTGTGCAAAATGAGAGAAAATCATTCAAAATTTCGAGCCAGACAATGAATGGCTCTCTGGAACAATCACAATTTAAATAGCCTCTAACTCAATGTAGACAACCTTGGTCAGTTTAGAAACCAAGCCACCAACGCACTTTTAACTTGAAATCGGAGCTGTGACACGACCCCGATTGTAAAATAACTGACATTCAGACACCATGCCTCATGATCGATCACGACTCGCGCGAAGGCGTTATTGAACCTATAAAATGTACAGATTTCGTATTCGGGTAAAGAAAAGTCTGTGAGAGGTAAATGGTGAGAAGAGTGGATGTTTGCAAGTCGACAGAATAATAAGCAATTGTCAGTGCCGACTCAGAAAGGAGGATTTGGCCGGAGAGGAAAACGTCGAATGAAAGCAGAATGTACGCCCAGACGGTTGGTCTAATTAGTTCAAAATCTATGGTGAAACTGAAGTCTTCAATGAAGCAAAATACCTCAGTAAGAAAGGTGCAAAAAATACTACGGTGAGTGCCAAAACTTAGGAACCGGAAGTTGATAAAATGCCTCCACTTGATTATTGATATGAATAAGTGCTGGGGATAGACAAAAAGGTAGGATTGACGAATGGAGCGTGTTAGTCTTCAGATATGAGGTAAATTTCAATTTCCATGGTCCTGACGGGTTTTTCCTACTACTGGTAGGATTGGCCCAAAGAACCAGAACACCTCAGTTCTAAAACGTTTGACAAGAATGGGTTTACTGCATGGGCTGGGTTTTTATCGTAAGGAAAGGTGAAACTTGTCTATTTTGAACGGTGATAACCACCCCCTACCCCCAGTAGAGGACAAAAACTCTTTAACTCTTCTGCGTTTTCTGTTGAAAGATAGTAGAAAATCCTGTATTGTCAACAAGAAGACTCCTCTGAACACAAGTGGTATTTGACAATCTCATAGATTCAACATAGCAATTTTAAGCAACAATGTCGGTCTGCTCACAGCGCAGATTTTCACTCCTTACAGAACCATTTAAATGCCATTACAAGGAAACTATACGACAATGGATTTCATTTTCAGACGAAGGAATAACTAAAGGGAATGTCACCGTATTTTCGGAGTGGTGCAAAACACTACTTGAATTTCTTGTGAACAGAATCGAAGCCATCGACTTGTGTTGAAGCGTAACGCCTCGTCTGGACCGTACAGGACACGCTTCATCGTTACGCACTTGTAACCAGCCACTAATCATGTGATCTGACAACACTTGTTACGGACTTTATTACTCCACTTCTCCGGCACGTAGGATGCGCTCAAACAGATGCCTGAGTCTGTTCTAGTTCTAGTTATTTTTGTTTTCGTTTAGATGAAAACTAAAGTTGAGCCAGTGATTTTATTCGTTTACTAATCGGTCATCGACTTAGAAAGACGACTTTATGAGATATTGTAAAGAAAAGGTAATAAAATATAAACGATCATTCTAAAATTTCGTTCATCGCACGACTTTCGACGAAAAGAATGTGTTTATACAACAGATCAGACGTAACATCAAGACTTGCCTCTTGGTGATAAAAAAGAGGCAGAGGAAAAATGCTAGAATTTCACACATGCATGTGACGTGGCACCCACTTCAAACAGGCTGTCATGAGATCTGACTCGACGCAAGTGGGTGCGCTAAACGCGGATGTGGTGCCAATATAGGATGTGAGGCCGTTTGCCTAAAAGTTTGTGTAGAATATACCATATCAAAGCAGGTTAACTTCATTAGGGAATTCACCATCGCAGCCTTTGACTAGCCAAAGCCTGATCCACAACCCAGTGTTATGTGGAACCCATACACCATTGGGAGCCGAGTCCACTTCATTGGATCCTAAACCCTTAGGACGTGGTCAAACGTCCAAGGTGCCCAATACACCTTGACGCCCAATGGAGTCTGTGACCACTGATACAATCAGGAAGACGTGGTTCCTACGCTTCCTCTTCGTTGATTTGGAATCAGGGTTTATATACAACTCCGCTGGTTGAACTGCCAATGGTTCCCCATCCAGATTATCGCTCCGGATGTCCTCTCGGTGGGGAATCACAACCAGGGGAAGTCAGTGAGAACGGCTTCCTCATCAGAGGCCATTTGAGATGCTTGGAGTATTTCCAGAGGACCAAGGGACGGCTGATCAGCCATAACCCAAAACAGTCCCTCGTAATCATACTGAGGCTTTCGGGAGGCGTAGTAACTTGGGCGAAGAAAGGGTTAGCAATTCCTGTATTATGCGATCTNTAGACTTCATTGTAATCACTCGTGAATTAATTTAGTTATAGAAGCCTGCATCTTCCCGCATCTCAGATGGGACACCAAGAAATTATGTTCTAATCCTTTCAGGATACCACTAGAGTTCTCCCACGTTTTTGATATTAATTGGTAAACTGGCCTGTATCCTGAAGTCTAGGTAGCAATTTAGATGCAGGTAACGGCGATAACAATGACTGAATCTCGAGTATACATACACATGCTAAGTAGATTACGCTAAAACCAGCTGTGGTCGTCTAAGAGTTACGTGACGTAATGGTGATTTCACACGCTGCATCCACATGAAGTCCTATCAGAGTGTCCTTTCTCAAACTCGACACGCCTAGACCGGGCCTCAAAATTTGTCCTGAATGTAATCATTAATGAAATAAGTTTGGCAGTGTTTGGGGGCACCTGTAAAGCCCCAAGCTCTTAGACAACCTATTTTCATGATCTACTTTGTGGGCTCGTTTGGCATTCCTTGTAGACAGGATTCTTAAATGGACAGAAGCGAACATGATGCCACTCATTGTATTCTCAGTATACAGTTCAGGATTTGTTTGATGCTAGTTAATAGATAGTTATTAACTAGGTGTGTAATTACGTGGCTTCAGTGCGCTCCACAACGGCTGAATCATGCTTTGAATTTCCCAACTTCTGTTACTCGACCGTTAACCTTCGTAATACAGCCCAGGAATCCTGTTTGACCATGTTAGGCAAGCTTGTGCAGAACTCTATGTTCTACGGTGACTGGAGTCTGTGGACGATAGTAAGCCGTTTGAAAAACGATAACAGGATTTGTGTGCAAATAATGGAAATAAAAATTTATAGAAACAGGATACAGACAACAGGTAAGTGGGAAAATCTCCGTAGTAATTTTTCACCGACTTTATGCTTTAGTATGGCGTATTGAACACAGATAAATTTACCCCAAGTGTATATGTCATTGAACGAGAGATTTCCAGTACTTTTAGTTGGAATACTACCTGTACAGTTCTGGTGTTCTGTTTATGTAAATACCCGTACCTTCCACAATTCTTCCCGTATAGCTATCTGAATTCAGAATGAATCTCCATCGTCTGAACCACGACTCGAGGATGCCACCTATCAACTGATTGTAGCCTTGCAATGTGTGAATAACGAACTGAGTTATCGGAAAGACAGCCATACCTAAATTACCTAAAAGGTGACCTTTCTTCAGTTAAAGATGGCACCAAACATTTACTCGTAGACATTGGGGTAGAGCAAACCGTGGCCACAGTAGGCGGAACGCGTCAGCGAAGACCCTGAAGTGAGAAACCTGAAATCTGCGTAAAGATTACCACCTTGAGACTTCCGTTCGTGTGAGTACTCATGTGTTCTACATCACCCACTCCTGTTTTCATTCTTGGTACGAATTTTTCGAAAGTGTTATTTGCTGGTGGATACAATCAGTAGCTAATTTTCACCGATAATCAATTGCTTTGAACACCAGAAGTATGCATAATAGAGAAAATGTAAAAATAGTTATTAATAAGGTTTATACGTAAACCAGCAATGCGCCGAAAATTCAGATTAGGAATTGTAGTTCAATAAACTTTGGAAAATTATGTACTGGACATTTATCCTGGTGTGGGAAGGGTGGTTCGTTCAGTTGAGTACACAAATAGAAACTGTACAATAGCAAGTCTGGTGTTGGGAGACGAACACGATTTTTTAATCCCAACTCCAGTTCGGATGCACATTACTGGAATTACTTAAAAGGAGGGGGTTGAAGAAAATAACCTCGCGTCTTTAAATAACACAATAAGAAACAGAAATATACGTAAGCAAAGTCATGAGATATCGAGAGTTGCAAAGTTCCCGAGTGTCGTAGGTACTGTACTGATAAAAGATGCTCGTTGATCAAAGAACAGACAAGCATGAATAAAATAATTCATAAACTGATAATAAACAAGTCAGAATAACTGGTTGAAACAAAAAACATGGTTGAAAGAGTGTATTACGTGTGTATGTTTAAAAATCAAAACACATCGCGCTAGGAGAATGCCATCTGAGCAGTTATGTCCGTCAGTCGAAACAAACTGGAAGCGGTTAGTTCGACGAGACCAAAAGACCTGATACATGTGAAAGCTGCCGTAGAGAACAGATTTGTCATTTCGTGTGAAACACATCGATTAGAATTTTGAGGTCACGATTGACAACACCCAGCAGGGAACTTTGACAAAAGAGGGCACAAAGAAAGCCACACGTCTCCAGCCAGCCAGTTTGAGCAAAGTTTTGACGGAACGCGGATCAGTGGGATATTTCTTATTACAGTCTTTCACGCCGAATCGACGAGCCAAATCGGACAGAAATAACGTTCGTCCTGACTGCTTGAGCAACACATGTTGAGGCTGACCCACCATAGTGGCCACCACAAGTCCGGGAACCTCCACGGAAACTCCTAATAGTAAGAGTAACAAAGAGGTAACGAGAATGATCACAAGATTCCGTTGATTGAACCCGTAGTAGTTTATGTGATGCATTCATAGGAATTAGAATGGGACTCAGATGAAACCATAAATACAATTAAGAGACTGGATTTCGTAACTTAGGAAGTGGTGCAACCTACCAAGTAATGCATTCACGGCGTCCGTGAGCATGGACGGAGCACGACCGGAATTAAGAACCGAAACCACAGATTCCGTGTGAACCAGACCAGGCAAAAGACTGACCACAACAACGTTAGCTCCACGCCTCATAAGATCACGAGACATTTCCATGCTCATTCGATCCAATGCAGATTTGCCTGATGGAAACAATGAAAGAGATCGAATGCAAGCGGGTGGTGGTAAACGTTCAGTTTGTCCAACTCGGATGTTGCTGAATGAGAAAATACAGTTCGGTAAGAAATGATTCATTACGAAAGCCGGGAAAGTAAAAAAAATTGGAGCGGGTGGTATAAATTGTGACATTACAACACCATTTATTTCACAAATAATAATAAAACGAATTCACACTTGGATTCTGCGTTCTAAACAATGGAAAAGCATAGCAGAATACTTCTACATTCAAAAATAGTATGCACAAGACAAACAACAGATATTGATTCCGGAATATATCCGCACTCGTATTTACAACATTATTTCAACAATTTATAACTAGGTCATGACATTATATATGAGAAAATAAAACTTAGGAAGGATTGGTGGTGGATCACTGTGTGCGCGCACTGTACTATCATTTTTATGATACTAAGGATTTCAGTGGGGCCAAACTATTTTTCGTTTTAACTTCCTTTCATTGAGTATATAATTCTATCACATTTAGGGAGAAGCGGCCAATCAAAAGGCTGCTGTACAACACACAGAGAATGAGGAAAGTCAAGCGGTGGTGTTGGGGTTTTAACACAAGTCCTTCGGGGTGATAATTTGGTGACGTTACCACTGTTAGAAAGTTCCCCCGTTGTGGATGAGGTTCACTCCCATCTTAAGTAATGCTCTCATTGAGCTTCATTAACAATTTGCCGGAGCGGTCCTACTCATTGCCTTCTCGTAGCTAGGGTGTCTGCACTGAAGTGAGAGGAAGAAAAGAAAACATTGGGGTCTACAGCTCAGACGATGAGTCACGGTCAGTCAGTTAGAGTAATCAGAAAACCTGAATCGAAACCAGCCAAGAAGAGGTATTCATAGCGGATCCGATTCGACTGGACATATTTGACACGGTGGTCGTGCTACCGGTGTATTAAGGCTCTAATAATGGTCTAACGGGACACGAACCCCGACGAACTGTAGTACTCACCCACTTGACCACTGTCTTTCATTTCAGGCTTTTATCGAGCCAAGGACTTCGATCGTGAAAATTAAGTTAATCAGGTTACTCGGTGATATTGCACTCCGAAAAAATCATCGGTCAATTTCGTGTGCTTAAACATACCCTTTTCAAGTTACAGTCTGACAAGCGATCATAAGCGAGGTAAAACACTCCTTTAGTAAGCCCCGAAAAGCTCGTCTTTCACACTCATCGGTAGATGCAGAGCAAGTGATCGATGGTGTGAAGTAGCAGTTGCAATGGCAGCCGCCATACACATACAACACCGCACCCAACAGAGAGCAACAACTTGCAAAAACGACACTCGGTATACATGGAGAAACAATAAGTTGACAGATATCGTGATATTAGATTCATAGCACATGTTCAACGTGCAATGGCAAAGGTTGATTCATGCATCTACATTAGAATATCCCCGACAAATAAAGCTGGAAACTCAAAACAGGAATATGACCGAGAAAATATTCTTTGAGCGGGCGTTCTAAGGGACGTCGAAAAGACTACGAGGATATTTACAATGTCACTTATCCAAAAGGGAACACTTTTAATACACTTCAATTGATCGCAGTCCTCTATCTTCAATGGAGACTACCAAGGAAATCAGTGAATTTAAAAGCCGTAAGGCCTCCGAGTCCCACGGGCTCTCCAAATGGGTGTTTAAGAATAAAGGTTCGTTGTTGGTCTCTTGGAATTAACCAAACTCGCTGGAGTTCACCACGGAAAGTGGTGTTCATCAGGGTTGCTCTCCCTCTCTCTCTCTATTTTTATTTCACTTTGTCATAGATATAATTATTGAAACAGCCCTATCCTCGCGAGAGGATAGAGGCATCCATGTACTCCTAGATGATAGACTGTCTGATCTGGAGTATGCAGATTACATGGTGCTAGTAAGTGAGGATGCTGGTAAGTTGCATGCTTTCTGGATAGTTTGAGTGCTGATGTAGCCATGTTCGGTTTGCGTTTTTCACCTTCTAAGTGTAAAGTGTTACTGTAATACTGGTTCAGTCCAGCACCCAATCTCACCCTGACTGAGGAATTAGTAAAGGCAGTAAACAAATTGAACTATTTGAGCAGCTACATCTCACCTTGCCGACGCGTCACAAATGAAATGTCGACACGCATATAAAAGGTTCGATTGGCGTTTGCCAACTTGAGACATCTGTGGCACCATCGTGACATCCGGCTGTCTGTGAAGAGTCAAATGTGTGCTGCAGTAGTTCAGCCAGTGCAGAGACTTGGCCATTACGAAAACAGGATAACAATAGATTTTCGGTGTTCGAACATCGCTGTCTAGTAGCATTGCACAAGTCTGGTGGGGAAACAGGGCGAGCAATGCTGAGGTTAGACGGAGAGTTTTAGTTAAAAGCTGTCGCCCATCGGAATAAGTGATTGATCTCGATGGATTACGCTGTTTGGGACATGTATTGCGCACGTCACCAAATAGGTTATCACGGTGAGCGATTTTGCCGAGGCAGGAAGCGGTCAGAAAATGGTCAATTGCAGTCAAACCGAGAACTGGTATGAGGGTATGAAAACCCTAACCAGGACACTGGTACTCTTAGGCTTCGTGGATGTGGACCCCGAGATTATGGTGGCCAGTGGTTAGAGACACTGAGTGATGCGGCTGTGTCGCAAACAGTGGCGCTCGTGCATCTACTTATTCCTGCAACCCCAGTCTATATAAATGCTCTATCTTCCCCTTGACTTTGTTCAAAACATTCAAATCTTCATGCTGCTTTTTTGTCCAAATGGGCAGCCAAAAGACAGCAACTAAAACCGGCAAACGCAAGTGGTTGTTTGTTCAAACTGAACTGAAATATTTATCAAAGTAAGGTGTGATAAAAAAAATTGATGATGCACTTTCGTGCGCCGGTTTTGGTTGTTGTCTTTTTTAGCCATAAAGAGATATGATAGCTCCTTCGGTAATCCACTTTTTGGGTCGGATCCACTGTTGTCAGATCGCGCGCGATGGAGTAACGTAGTGTTTCCATCTGACATGATGTTTTTCGACTGTTTAACTGTTTTACCCTCCTTTCACTTTGTTCTGTATCCCAATCCACCTACCCCCAATTATTGTTGTTGTACTTATGATTGTAGCGGTGGCACCATGATTGTCTACAAGCACGTATATATATATATATATATATATATATATATATATATATATATATATATGTG